GACGAAGAGAGAGAGAGAGAGAGAGAGAGAGAGAGAGAGAGAGAGAGAGAGAGAGAGAGAGAGAGAGAGAGAGAGAGAGAGAGAGAGACCTTGGCCAAACAGCTGCTGTGTATGATAGTAGTTTCTGCCATCAGGTACTTCATTATACCTACAATTTGGCCGGTTCACTCTCTGCAGTATGTTGATAATTTGGATCATAACAATAGTATGCAAAAGTGGAATTTGGTGATACCAACCAGGGACAGGCGATGCAAAATATTTCCACAGGTCATTTCCCTGGTGCGTGCATGTCAGATGGGCAGTTTCCCAGGTACACCTGTAATGAACCCAGATCGTGAGACAGTTGTCAACAATGCAAGTCCAGATAAATGTCCATTGGCTGATGATTATAAATAATCAAAAATCGAGACCAGACAATATGAGGTGAGATATCATACACAGACGAAGAGAAAGGAGGGAGAAAAGACAAAGGAGAGGAAGAAAATGCCCACTCCTGCTTCGGGCTCCCTCCTCCTGCCATCTCAACAATCAATAGTCTGAACGAGTATCCGAGTGTCGTGGCACGTCTAATCAGTTCGACATCAGCATCTGGAGCAATGTCGACATGAAGACCACAGGTATGTATCCTCGAACTCTCCACAGTCCTGATCTCCTCCTGAATGGATGACGAACAGAACAGCAATGCCGAATATGTATTCCCAGTCACAGAACACGTGGACAGCAGCCACGTCAGCATGATACACGTGGCAGCAGCCACATCAGCGAAGGTGCATGGCAGCTGCCACGTCAGCAGGCCAAGAAGACAGGAGCAAGCCGGCCACCATGCCGGAATAGCAGTACCTGCTAAGTGACAATGCCAGCAGCGTCGAGCCAGCATCGCAGCGTCAAGCCAGCGTCGAAGTCAATGCGTGAAGTCAGCATCAACGCAAGACAGAATGAATGTCAAAGCCAGGAAGTCAACTCTTATGTAGTGTTGACGCGGGGTCTGGACCCCGGATGCTGTATCCCTCGGCCGTCCAGATCTCAATGCGAACGAGGGCTCAGATCGGCCTGAAACCGAATTCCCTCCGACCTGGATGCTGTCTGGGTACCTGCGCACATCAAGTGAGTGTATCCAACCCAGGGCCTGGGTGCGGTACCTTTGACTCTTGATTTCCTGTGTGCGGCGTTCGGTCACACAGCCACACTTGACAGACTCAGGCCTGGGCGTGCCCTGGTCACACAGCCCAGCGCAGACCTTCTCAGGTCTGCGTGGCCTGGGGCTGAGTTCTGGGCCCCAGGCTACTTCTGAACAGGGTTATTACACACCTGCCATTCCCATCCTTCTTTTGTTGTCTTTTTTTTTTTGGACCGTTTCTCGATTTATGTGTGTCATCCTTGCGCAGTGGTCATGCCGATCTTCTCTGTATTGTTCCAATTTTCACGGATGTCTCGAAGGAACTGTCATTCCCATCTTTCTTTCTTTTTTTTCTTTTTCTTTTTTAATTTGGACCATTTCTCGATTTATGCGTGTCATCCTTGCGCAGGGGCCATGCTAATCTACTCTGTATCGTTCCAATTTTAATGGATGACCTGCCACTCCCATCTTAAAAGTGATACAGTTGCAATTTTGTCTCTTGCCTCTTTGTTTTTGTTTTTGTTTTTGTTTTTGTTTTTGTTTTTGTCCGGGGATGCCTGTGACTTTGCCCTCGAACTTGTCCTGGACCATTCACAGACGTGGCCCGACCGAGCCACCCACACAGCCAGATGTACCTGGCTTGGCTGGTAACCAAGATTCCTGACTGGTTTGCTATCCTTTGACTTCCTTCAGATGATAAACTTTCGGTGTTCGGTATTTGAAATTGTATCTGTGATGGTGGTACAGATTGCTTCCAAAATGGACATTGTTCCTGGTGCAGAGTTCAGGGCAGCGTACGAAGAAGCAAAGGATCTGCAAGCAGTGCTAGAACTTGGAGATCGGCCTGTCAAGGTAAGTGCGATGAATTTCAAATTATTTCAAATTAAACTACCAGTATGGCCTGGAAGAGGAAACGTTTTGTGCCCACCTTTGAATTGCTTTTTTATTCTTTAAATCAAATTAAATGTTTTTTCTTGTTTTTTTTTTTTCCCTCTGCGAAAAGACCAGCAGCGAATCTATGTGCGTGATTTTTTTCCCCCCAGAATTTGTTGCCCAAGGCCAGCCGGCGTAGCCCAGCTGGTAGAGCACGTAAGTGGCATTCAGGAGGTCGCGGGTTCGATTCCCAATGACATCCATTAGACCCCCCATGGCCTCCTGCGGCACACTTCCGTTTCACCAGCGGAGATAAATGGTTATAGCCTCCCTGGCTGGTGGTGGTAGGTTGCTTGTCATTGTGTTGCTTGTGCCCTTCTGTAACGAGCGTGAGGCTGAGGGTGAGCCGAGGGAGAGGAGAGAGAGAGGGAGAGAGTGAGAGCACACACACACACTCACTCACTCGACACGACGGACTCGGACTGAGGGTTGGACGCAGACACAGTGGCAAGGCACAAAGTCGAAGTCTTGGATTCCCAATGCCGAAACGGCAAGTCACACTGAGTACAAGTACAGCAGCAGAGAACTGGTACGAGACTGGTCCCCGTACCGTACGGGGAGCCGGTATAAGTACCGGTGACACGTACGGTACCAGGGCCATTTCTGCAAAGGCCCCGAGGGCAGAACTGAAAAATGCAGTATTTGAAAGTGGCGCCCGAATTGCAGCATGGCGCCAGTTGTCCAAAATCC